TTTTCTCTGTAAATTGTAATGTGGCATGTCAATGTAGTCTATTGAAATAACGTTAGATAAAGGGAATGAAAGGGGTATGTTTCTAGAAAAATGGGGTGCTGCGTTGGTGGGAGAGTATAACAGGGTAATGTAGTATTATCAACCGAGTTGATAACGTAAATTGGCCAACGTAAAGAGTTTCGAGCGTCAGCGTTAGACGTTTCGCTCTGACCGTAGATAGAGTGGTAACGGTAGCGTGGCCGAGCGGTCTAAGGCGCTGGTTTAAGGCACCAGTCATTTCGATGGCGTGGGTTCGAATCCCACGGCTGCCAACGAAGTTTCCTTTTGTACCAGGGTAAAGGAAGAACGCTCGAAACGTCAGCTTTCAAACTCTGTACGGTGGCTAATTTACGTTATCAACTCAGTTGATAATACTAATATCCTATTACGCTAGATACAGTCAACTCAAGGAAACTGATAAAATTTCAATTTTTTTGCAGTCGTGGTTCTTTTATTGTCAACAAAGAAAATCTGGCATATTTGGCTGGTAAGTGTGGAGAGCGTTGTGGCACTGCGTGACTTGCCACGTGACAGCTTTTGAGAATTTGTGACTTTTATTTTCCTTTCGTTACTAAGTTATTAATTATCTGAATTTCTCGAATTTCTGATCATGTGATTACAAAAAGTCGTTTTACCCGACGCGGGCTTTCTTGGGCATCGCTGTGACAAGGTTAGGAGGTTTTTACGCGATAACAAATCTCTTGTTGATTGAACTTGCGAATCTTCAGTGTCTCTGGGAAACATGACCAAATATTCCCTACAGTAAGCGACACGATTGAAAAGAAGCTTCTTACTCATGACAGCGATGCGTTTTTTAAAGTTCGTCTTTGCATACCATTTTCATCTACTTCATTACCTGTCATCCTTGTCCTTCATGGCTTATTCTTGCCTCCTTTGTTTTTTCCTTTTGTACCGAACAAATATTTTGTAGTCCCCTTCAAGCTGAAGTTGGTTTTGCTATGTGCAAACGTTGTGATGCGAAAAGTTTGTGAAGTGCGAAAGACGTGAAAACTCGGTAGTATTTATGTTCTTCTGAAGTAAAACCTTTATCATCAGCATCTCAATGCTCTTGCAAAAATTGTCGTAATTTAAGATCCAGTAAAATCTTTATAGTAATTAATTATTATTATGATAAAAACTAAACAATGAAGACTAGATTGACATGCTCAAAGATGGTCAAAATGCTCAAGATGTTCAAAGATGCTCAAAGTTTTAGGTCTGCTTCTAAAAATATCACGTCTAACGGAAGACAAACCGCGAGCACCGTAGTTCTTTGTGGGAAAACTACGATTAAAAAGTTCAGTTACAATTATACTTCTAACTTGACTATGGTATTTCTAAATTATCATGTTTGACTTTTATTCCTCGCTCAGACGAAGGGCTGACGCTCGAAACGTCAGCTTAGAAACTCTTTACCGTGGCTAATTTACTTCATCAACTCAGTCGATAAAACCAAACTAATTTATTATTCCTCGTAGCTTTGTTGCCTGTATCTGAAGAAGTTCGCGCCAGTCTTCGCCCGGGTGGCAAAAAAGAGCCCGAGAGTCCCACCCTGCATTTTCCAGGCAAACTGGACGGCAGTATCTCCGGAAGCGCAACATCTTTGAATACGGAGC